CAGACAGGGATTAGATACTAAAAACATCCCTCATATTTCGATCCACAATGTTTGTGTTGCTCTCGATTGTCATTGTCATAATCACATTTCTCACAGTAATAACCCTATGACAAGAATGCTGTGATACTGGTAGGTAATGGCATCAGAATGTTCATCGTGATAATAGAAGTGACAATATTTTCCGACTTTGAAATCTTTGCCTCGAAGCAACAGCGGTCTGCGCACTTTTTGAGGATATATTTTCAAGGTGTAACGTGGAGTCAAGACGTCTTGCAAATTTTGCATTTTAGGAATGCCACATGACTTGTCTTTAACTATTCCCGCTTGCTGTAACAGGAGTTCTGCCTCTCTTTCTTGTTTGGCTCGGTCCGATCGTTGAATCGTTTTCCACACTGGGTTGCATTCAACCGTGTCGTTTTTGTAGGCATACGTTCGTCCCAACACGATGGCACCGACTAAACACATCATATCTTAAAGATTGATAATTTGGACAAGGCTATGCTTGATGCAATGAAGGTTGTCTACCAATATCACTTTTTTCCATGTCCTGTCCCTTTGGGAAGAGACACGCGGGTCATGAACAGTGTCGCTTTTCCGTCAGTGATGTTGGGTTACTGTACGTGTTGAATCTTGACGATGATTTTGGAAGGTGTTAATTCTGATGGACTGCTAAATTCGATCCAAACGAGAGACTTCAAATTGTCGTGATGAATGGAAAGTCTCAAGCGGTCGTCTTCTTTGACTTCACATTACCGATTCAGTGTGATTAACAAGAATCCCATACATCACTGATAAACCTTTATGCTTTCTCTAATGGTACGTCGGACTTGAAATCTTTACACTTCACCGCGTACGTGTAGGCTGTAGTTCTAAATTGCCTAGAGGAGCCTTCATCCGTCTTTCGAAATGTGGTAATATATTTCGGGTGAGGTTTTTCGTTTGATGTAGATTCTATGGGTATAGAATATGGTACTCTCATTTCATCTTCAAAATTACGTTGTGAATTTGTGCCAAGACTTCAGCTACTGTGTGAGACGATAAATCACGTCTCTGCCACTTAATTTCTTCTCCTTTGTTTACAAAATAATGCGATCGTTTCATCTTGATTGCAAAAGTACAAACGACTTTATTTAAAACGCCGTGGTCACCTATATATTCATGTCAGGTCAGTGCATACACAAAGGACTGGTGACTTCCCTCTCAGTATTCATTTTGCTTTCAAACCAGGGAAGAACCCATACACACGGAACTTCTGATTAGAGCTTTGCGAGGCATCATACGAAAGTTTTCTTCAGATAATCTGACGGATTATCTGAATCCTTTCGGGATTCAAGCCAAGATACTTTATCTGTAAGAATAAAGGACATTGGACTAGATCATGTCCAGATTGTCAAGAAACCAGTGTCAAATGAGACAAAAGTCGAGATACCTCTTATCATTGTCAAGAGATTGGACATTGGGAGATTGGACATTGGTCTTCAGTGTGCCTAAAGAAACAACAGGAACAAGAGGAGGAAGAAGATGACAGGTATAACCCGGATACGTTCCGAAAGAGAAGAAAAGAAAGATAGAAAATGTGAGGAAGAAGAGGAGGTAAAAACTATGAAAGTAAAGAAATTAAAAATAGAGAGAACAAAATAACAGACACAGAAGTCTATGAACTTTTTAAGAAAAATGTGTTGTGTTATGAATTGAATTGTAAATATTTGTATCAGAATAGAACAGACTGAAAATACATGTCTCTTAGCTTTGATTATTTAAAATAAGAGTATAAACTCACGTATTCACACACACACACACACACACACACTCACACACCCTATAGGTTAAAAGAGGAAAATTTGAGTTTTCATTGATTTTGGCAAGTTAAATATTAACTCTTTTCGAAATAAATGGGTGTCTCTGAAAAGGACCGTTTTGGGTACTTGTTTTCTTTTCTGAGAACAAACTCAAGAAAGTGAAGCAAGTCGCTTTAACTGCCTTAAGCCTTTGCCACAGCCAAGGTCTGCTTGTGGACTTGCTCCCGTCAATGATTTCGTGGAAATCATTAAAGGTTATATCTCTGCTGTAGTCACAGGGTTAGGCTGTTTGATTCGGGAAGGTCTTTGTATCTTGGGTCGTAATAAAATATAAAGTCTGATACATTTGTTTAAGACTTCTTAATTCTGCTAAAATATCTAAAAGTACCGTGACTGTTTAAGGTTCACTGTCTCCTTCTCTCCTAGACTTTGTTTCCTCTCTATTTGCTTCTTCCTGTCGTTTCCTTTTCGATTCTTCTCGCGGTTGCTTTTCAAGGAGAAATGCTTGTTCTGCCTCTTTCTGCTGCCATAAAAATTTCTCTAATTCTTCTTTCTATCTTTATCTAAATTAGTCAACGTGTGGTAAAGAAGGAGAAAGTGACCAAGGTGCTTGCTCCTGAACAAATTTTTGCGAAGAGAGAAAATCTACTAAATCCCAGTTGAAATGTCTTTACTTTAGTATCCTCTGCTATGCCGTCGCTTTTTGTCTCCACAGCCCGTGCACCCCAATTCATTATCTTCTTAGTGTCCATCATGTTTCAGAAAACAATGTCGCATCAATTCACTGCGCACAAACGCTAGTGTACCTATATAGGGAATGTGACGTCACAGGTAGCTCTCTTCGGATTGGAAGACAGACTCCGCAGAATGACCGAATTTTGTAATGCGTGTTGGGATTGGTGAATAATTTCAAACCGTTTCGATCCGCTCTTACTCTATAAATAAACGCGGTTGATGTTGACCAACGTAGAATCGTCTACCATCGTATCATCGATGCTGTTCAATCCGCACTATCCTATGTATGTCAGATCATCATGGGCCATTACCCAGATCACTGATACAGCGTTTTGGAAATGAAGGACATATATATATATATATATATATATATATATATATATATATATATATAGATATATATACATATATATACATATAGATATATATATACATATATATACATATAGATATATATATACATATATATATACATATATATATACATATATATATATACATATATATATATATGTATATATATGTATATGTATATATATATGTATATATGTGTATGTATATATATATATATATATATACATACATACATACATACATACATACATACATACATACATACATACATACATACATACATACATACATACATACAAGGGTATCTAAAGAGAGTCCTCATCTACGGACCACAAGTGAGACAAAGTTTGAGAAAGAGAATATCAGTGAGATGCCCTGAATGTTAACGAATTGGTGTTAACAAAGGTCTTTTTTTTACTGCCGCTTACAATGCCTCAAAAACATTAGTAGTGGTAGCTGCGCCTATTTAGGTCAGCTCCTTGCTACATTGTCATAAGTGTCTAGTACCGTGACGTCACCTTACCTATACCATTCTTCTTGTCGCTATACAATCCCAAATGTGTTCATACAAATCCCCCTTTTCGCTATAGTATACCAGCCGTTCAGTTGTCGCCATAAATCGTGGAGCTATAATATACCATCTGATTTTTAATGATAACTCCCATTGTGGCTATACTATCCCACTATACTACTCCTGTAGACCGATCGAGATTATAGTTACCCCGCTTCTATTTTGCATTTTCCTTCTTGCGTCAGACCATCAAGTTTTAATATTTTCAATATCACACACACACTCGCGCGCGCAACTGTGCAATTTCAACCATATTTGACAGAGAGCATTTAAAGTAAGACCTTTCCAGTTTTCACAAACAAAGCCGACCCAACGTCAATTGTCACAAAATATATAAGAAACACTTTACATGACATCTTTGAAAGAAAAAAAAACTTAATGAATGTTACCGAATTTGTTAAGGATATTCAGATATACAAATTATGGTGATCCACTTCAAATATAAACACAAAACAATTTAGCGAACTAACAAAGTTCACCGAATTCTCTTTTTTAAAAAATACTGTATTTGTATGTGCGTTTATTTTTACATATCAAGAAAATTTTATCAAACTGGAAAGAAAGAAAACAGTAGGTAGGAATATGTAAGAAAGTTTAATAATGCGGTGAAAAAGAAAGTAGACGAACATAGAATGGCGTGATGATCTTGCAACGAATAGACATTATTTGGGTTCCAAAATTTAAAAATCTGCTTTTGTTTATCTAATGAATAGGAACTTGAGTTAGTGAATCTGGAAACTATAGACCTGTAAATGCAAAGGTCAGCCGAAACTTTATATTGACCCTACCGTCTACATTGTCAGCAACATTCATTGTACCTGTAACGTAGATGATTTTGTTTATGGTACACGAATACCGTACGTCCTCAGCCATTAATTAAAGTAAAATTTCCAACACAGTATGGACTAAGACGTATCGCACGTGCCTGCAGGTATTTCGGGGTATGAATTCTTCATCTTACAATAAAATCAAACCTTAATTGATAAATAGCACATTATCCGAAAGTCCTAACAATATCGTTGCCAGTGAAAATCAGACAACCATAACCATCAAAGGTCAAGCTATACTGAGCGTGGGCATACATATAAATATGATACTGAAAAACAGAATCTACAGAAGGAAACTTGAAACGTAAGTACTTAGTAATTGTTCTGTGGATCTGTTTCCCTCCTAATACTTTTGTATTATACTTTGTCCATTCACCTTTTTGTTGTTGCTGTTATTGTTGACTTTTGTTTTTCAGTTTGTCCATTGATCTTGTTATTGTTGCAACAAGGGCATCTAGATTTGGTCGTGCCCTTTGTCCGCAGCGTGAAGAATGCAACTACGAGTACTCAAAAACCACTTACGTACACAAAGGGACTTTGTAGGCAGGTTTCTATCCAACATACAGATTAAATTATAAGATTTTCAATCTCTTTTCATTATTTTTGGGATGAGGTTTTTTTGTTTCATTTTTTGTTTCTTTTATCTATTTTGTTGCTGTTTGTATATTTTATCCCATTTCCATGTATAAGTTTGCTCTGTCTAAACATCCTAATCACTCCAGTGGCCCTTTTGTTAGAGCGTCCGCCTTGGATGTGGAAGGTTGCGGGTTCGAATCCCGACTGGGTCATAACAGACCTATAAAACTAGTACTAGTAGCTGCCTCGTTTGGCGCTCAATATTAAGAGGTTAGTGTTAGGACTGGAAGGCCTGGTGTCAGGGTGATGTGTCGGGGTGGGACATCATGCTACATGTCTGCGGTATGAACTACAACGTAAGAAACATCACCCAAATATGTTTCTTCTGGGTGGGTGATTGGTCTTACAGCCTAACTGTGTAGCGTGTTTTGATGCTATGAGGAACCTCCCGTTCGCCCATTGCTTGGTATCCCTGTAGTATCCACTTTGAGTGCTCACTAACAACACTGCTCTGCTGGTATACCAATCAGGGGAACATGGTTCTCACGATTTAGATTCTGATCAACACACACACAAGCACACACAGACACAGACACACACACTTGTTATCGTCATCCAACCCCCCAGCCAAAGCACAATAAGAGGAGATGTCTTCCTTAGCTTTTATAAATTATACATTGTTGTACTATTCAAATAACTTCCGATCTGTATAAGGTTTGTGGACGGACTTTGATTTTCGGTCTGCTTTGGGAGAGTAAGTGTTTGACAATTTGGTTTTAATTAAACGTAACATATAGACGACATTTGATGCACACACACACACACACACACACACACACACACACACATCATCATCATCATCATACTCCTACTACAGTAACAATTTCAAATACAATCGACCTAGAAGAGAATTCACCATCAGGGTTTAATTTAAAACAGAATGTAATCAACAATTACATTGCTCGCATCAACAATGATTTTATCAGTCTTTACGCAACGTTATATATCAACTCTCACGAGGAAAATAAAGAACTCATTAAGGTATTCAATCTGGCTTTAAATTAGGCATTGTTTAATATTTAAGTTGGACTTAAATTTTAATTATTCAGATTACTGGATGCCGGAATTCGGTTTTAGTCCAGCCCTAAAAATTGTCTGTGAGATCATAGCCAAAGATACTCTTTTGAAGCAAGCAAGAAGACTTCTACTCACGGGAAGATGGATAGGTACAGAATAGAAGACCTCATCCGGGAACTCGGGGGATACGGAAGATATCAAATATTGAAGACCACTATTATTCATGTCTGCATAGTCGTACAGGTGTTCAGCATGTATGCGATGACGTTTGCAGGAGCGGTTCCTTTATGACACTGTTCAGACAATGTCAATTCGTCGGTAAACGTATTCAACGATAATGTAAACGAAACAGTCTGACTGAAAGCGTGCTTTTTGAATGGAACAGCTTGTTCTACTTATCAGTTTGACCACAAAGTGAACACGATTGTCAGCGAGGTTTGTTGTAATCTTTGGAATAATTTAATTCGCGAACTATGTGTTCCCAATTAGAACAATATTCCATTTTAATAATTGAAAAGCACGTTACATAATCATTATCATGAATATTTAATCGCGAAAATAGCTTAGAATACAATATAATTTTTGCGACTTACACATCTCTACTATAATAAAAATCTTGGTAGAGATATAAAATGCATAAAATGACATCATAATTCAAGAAAAACATTATGTTTCTTTAAGTGGAAACTTGTGTGTGATATCAAATGGGCACCTGCAACAGCCACTACTCTCCAAATGATAGGCGTCTTCATCGGAAACCTTGACGCTGGTCAAATTGCCGACTCCATTGGTCGAAAGCCGACATTTTATCTGGGCATAGCTTGGAATGGTGCTTCCAATTTGCTGGCATTCTTCTCTGTTAGCTGGGAAATGTTTGCTGCAGCACGGTTCCTCATCGGATTTGCATTGGGGCTCATTATCACAGTCCAGTACAATTTGCTGTTTGAATTTATATTGAGTAAGTGGCGGTCTACAGTGCTGGCCATACCTTCCGGGGCCCTCTTCTCTGGAGTTTATGCTGGTATTGCATATTGTGTTTGCGATTGGAGGCACTTATGGCCATTTTTGCGTTTCTCTTTTTTGCCTTCCTTGGCGGTAAGTATGACTTTTTTATATCATGTGCTCTTCGTCTCCTGTCTCCACCTATAATTCTGGCTGACGCCGAAAAAAAAGTTTGTAATGTAAGTTTATTCTAGGAATATGAGTTGAAACGCACAACGTTTTTGAATTTCTAAAAGTTCTTTCATAATATCAAATTAAATAATAGTTATCTCGGAAGATCTATAAATAATTATGATGCTTTTATTAGGTTTTCAATAGTTTCAAAAAAACAGGAACATCAGACTAGTTCGGCGCTAAGAAATATCAATGTCATAGTTAGATGTTAGATTTTAGACATCTTTAAAAAGTTGGAATTGAAGTTTCTAAGTAAACAAGGTGAACATTGTTATAGGAAGCTTAAAAGAAAAACAACTTAGGACGATATTTCTCGTCAAATTGAAATCATATTAATTTTAAAACTGAAATAAATAATATTAGTGTATACACAGATCTCTAAACCGAAGTGAACTTATGCTGAATTTGAAAGATCTGCATATATGACATAAGATAAACGTCTCATTTCATTTTATTGACTGTTACAAAAATTAACAGAGTATAAATAAACAAACATTCTTTAAAGATAAGAAGGAAGAAGCCGGGACTATTGAATGCGTGAACTGGATAAGCAGCTTATTTATTTACACTCTGTCACGTTAAAAACTAAAATTATCTTTTCTTATTTTAAGTAATTCAACTGAATAAAGGTTAGCAAAAGTTACAGTTACTGCAAAAAAATCTTAAAAGGGATGATTTTCTTTTACATAAGTGATGAATAACGTCTTTCCTTTTACATGTTCTAGATTAATCCAGGAGAGTGTAAGATGGTATTCCGCGCGTGGAAGGGTAGATGACGCCATTTCGGTTGTTCGCTATATCGCAAAGATGAACCGACAACCAATTCCAGACCTGTCAGTCATTTCCCGCTTTTTTAAGGAAGAAGTGGATGAGGACATAGGAACACGGTCACAAAAGCAGTATACCATCTTGGAACTGTTGCGACACAGAGATATACTCGTCATCACACTCAAGCTTTCTGTCTTATGGTAATTGTTTATTTTAATTAATCCAATTCACAGTGCAGGCATTATTTTATATATAAAAGGAAAAGCCAACTGAATCTTATAGGGAAAAAAAAAAGTAATATATTTATTTGTCATAGAGTGTCTGCGTTGGTAAGATAGACGGTTTGGAACCAGAGTTAGCTGTGTGCTGATGTTGAATGTTTTTTTTTTTTTTTCGCATTCTCTCTCTCTCTCTCTCTCTCTCTCTCTCTCTCTCTCTCTCTCTCTCTCTCTCATTGGAAAACCCTTTATCAAGGCCACCAAATTTTCGTAAAAAGAGAGATATATGTTTTATGTTAGTGTATGACATAATGACTTGCGTTGGTCACTTTTTAGCGTAGTCAATATTTCTATGTGAACAATATGTAGAACCTTTGTGTTTCTTCAACTGTCTATCTTGACTCTTCATAGCGAATATTTCACACCTTGTATGCAATGTATAGTTAAATTTCTACTCTTTCAAATACTTGAATATAAAATATTCATGTCGCAAACTTACAAAAGAAGTTTTAACTTCATACATGCCAAATGATTTTGATTGAAAATTTAGCAACATAATGCCGGTCTAAAAATAAAGTGCATACATAAATTTTATTCTCGTCTTAAATTATGTGCGACAAAGGTAATATTAGACAACATAAGATGAAGTCAGCAAAGGACTAAGAGAATTGTAAAATTTGAAACCAACAAATATATAATAGCTAGATATTTTGCCTGAGAATGTAAAAACAATTGTGTGTAACTCTGGTCAGAACAACACCTAGCTGAAATATCCACTTAGCGTACACTAAATAACCTACTGGTAGCAAGTGAACAGATTTTTTATTTTTAAAAACAAAAGTCAGTCAGCGTAAGGCTGGCAAAATTGTAACATTTTAAAGAAACCGCTGAATGAAAATTTACACGACTGAATACTCAGTATGTTTGAAATACAACTTGCTGACAGTAATTTGTATTTCGAAGTATATTTTAGTGAGAAATTTAAATGGCCACGATTCTGTAATGAAAGAAAACAGATCTTGGTGTTACGAGTCTATGCTCTTGAAATAAATAACACAAAGGAGTAAAAGATAACAAGTTTTGTAAAATTTAACAAATAATTTATTTCTATAGAATACAAAGAAAAAAATGAGTAAAAAAAGAAACTTTCGGTATTGCGAATTAAATCCCAAAAATTCAACAATTACATACACAAATCCTAGCAATTTAAAGTCCTAAATAAATTTCAATAAAAGTGCAGAATAAGTCTAAAAACAAGTGGCATAATGGCGTCGAAATTTAAATACCTTTTTCATTTCTATCTAAATTTGTTTGGTTTTGTTTGTTTTTGTTTTTTTTTTTTCTTTTTTCTTTTCTTTTTTTTTTTTTTTTTACAAAAGAATGAAATATAATTTGCCCAACTACGCCTTTAAGTTATCGAGGCCAACTGGCCAACTGGTCTTAGGAATTGTTGCCTTTTGTCTTTTTTAAATGTGTGATTTAAATTTTTGTAACGTAGCTCGTAGCTTTAACAATTTTTCAATCATATCGCTACGGTATCTACAGTGTAGCAGTTCATTGTTTAAAAAAAACTATTTTGTTTTAACTTATTACAAGCGGCCATATTTCGCGGTGGATTGGCCTTGTATGTTTCAACAAAATCTAATGATTCTTCGTAAGAAAAATATTGGCTACACTCGCAAAACTCACGACGAAAAGATGAAATCGAGGGGTCAGCAAGTTCAGACGTTAACTTCATTAAATTGAATTATCATCTTTGACGGCTGTTATGTATATTTAATCTATATTGTGTGCTTCACCTTTGTCCATGATTGAAGATAGTTTTGGTGTGTAACAGCTTTTTGTCATGTTTTTAAGTTATAAATAGGTTATTTACTAATATCTGAGTTCAAAATCTAGTCTTTTGTTTAGAAACTTACAATGTTCTGGAAGCCAAATTCTGACTGTATTTGGCCATTGTATTGTGTCTTAGG